ACAAGCAAATGAACGAAACCGAGCACTATAGCAGCTTTGAAGTGGCAAAAAACTCACTGCAAATCATTGACTCGCCGGGACGTCCTACGCTCAACATTCCTAACTGACAAAGGCTCATCCCCTAAAGAGAACTGCTTAATTTCCACTCTCTGAACGTAATCAGGCTTCTTCAGATTATCAATAACAGGTTGCAACAACCCAATAATCCAATTCTCAATTGCACCTCTATAAACTTTCCACAACTTCCCCAACACCATATTAACCCACTCAACTGACTCTTTCCTTTGCAAATCCTTTTCCAAGAACAAAGAAAAACTAGTTGGAACTTGTGGCCAAACCCCTGCTCCGACTCTACCAGCTTCCCCATCTAGGTTCCCCAATTTGCCACTCCTTTTCCTTGAAGTCCAGATTTTATCAAAGGCAACCCCAACAAAAAAGAAAAAAACAAACAACCCAGCAACGTTACGGTTAATTGGAGGGGAAGGGATTGGGTGGATAACTCCTAACTGGGTCCTTAACTTGTCAACAATGGGGTCTTGTTGGAAATTAGTAAAATTTGAGCCCATTTGGATTGAAGATTCTTGACTTTCCCCATCCAGAAATTCATTTGAAAACCCTTTGGCTACAAGGTTCCTAGCCACCCTTACATTAAGCTTGTTGGGATTTGGTGTGGGAATTGCGCAAGCAAGAAAACAGAATTTCCGGTGTGGGATAAAGAAAGTGATGAGTTGGCTTTTAGGTGGTCGTTTTTTGTTCCCGGAAGGCAAGGAGGGGTTGGTTTTACAAGGGCAGAGCGGGGAAAGGAGAGGGCAGCTGAAACTGGAACGAAAAGATTGTAAAAAGATCATTTATTATTGGTATAGGGAGAAAGATTTTCAGTGCCCCAGTTGTAAAGTGGGGATAACAGAAAACGTAGTTGTTGGTGATAATAAACATGAATAAACCGGGGAATTAAATGAACTGGTTCTAGCAGCAGCCGGAAAACTAAAAATCAATCAAAGATGGTGGCTTTCTTTTCTTTTCTTTTCGTTTCTTTTCTTTCTTCCTTTTCTGGGCGTGTTGACCTTCAAAGTCCGAGAAAAGGAAAATGGTTCTTTGGAGTGGGAAGAGAGGAATTGTTGAATGGTTCGGATTGTGAAGTTGTGATGCAAGCTGCATGAGTGCTGGGAATTTTCAGTGTGTGGCATGTGGTCACGTTTTGTTTGTGTGTTTTAAAATGAAAAGAGTAGGCCGAGGTCGGAGCACTCTTTTTTTTTATTATTATTTTTATTTTCCTTTCACCGCCCACAAAACTGAACTTTTTAAGCTCAATTATTAAGAAAAAATGTATTGTTTTTATAAAATTACATTCTCAAGTAAAAATTAAAGATAATTTCAAATAATCTTTATTTTTTTTAATGCAGAAGATATGGAAAAAACCAGTTTAAGTTCTCATACAAGAAGAGCCTATCATGCTCTTAACAAGTAACGGACCTAAATCCAAAGGCATATTAATCAAGGTAGTCGTTCCAATAGACAATACTGAGCCAAATTTAGAAGGACATAAATCAAGTTGCTAGAAAATCAAAATATTCCAAAGTTGCCAAAGTGTCATAGCAAATTGCATACTCCACTACACATTATCAATAAAACGAGCTTAATTAAAACAATTTCTCCAAAATCATTTCTTTAAATCTAAATTAAAAAAAATTATCTCGTCAATATCAAAATGTAACTAATAACTCCAAACCTCTTTTTCTTAAAAGTAGTTTGTAAGTAAACGCAAAGTCAAATCATTATCATATATACATTAGAAACAAGTCAGCATCATTTACCATCTTTTTCTTCATTCTATTTTCATTTGCATTGAGTTTACCATGAAACAAAGTCCACATGAAAAATCGAATCCTTTTTGTACAACCTAAGTGTCAAATTCACTTGAGATCATCCACTTGCAAATTTCCAACCAATTGAATTTGTATCAATCTATAAGTGAAACTAGTTGAGAAACCTCCATTACGCTCGTCACACCAAATTTTTTGATCCACCCAAGTACTAGTTATTAGAATTGGGATTACTCTTATTTCCAAAATCTTACCTAAATGAAGCAGGTGTCAAATGGAATCAAGTTGTCATTCCTTACAATTATTAATAAATTTAACAACCTTTCGACAAAGCAATCCATTTTCAACGATATTAAAAGCATAATAAATGAGAAGACCACCGCCTACCCACCAATCATTCCAAAAACTAACATTTTTACTATAGTCAATAATCCATATTTTACTTAAATTCAATAATGTCTTGCATTTCAAAAAATCTCTCCAAATAAAAAAAAAACATCAAAACAGAAAAATATAGATCTCAAATCATAATTATGAAAATACTGTCCTCTTAAAATTTTACAAGATAAGGATCTTGAATTGTTTTCAATGCACCAACTAATTTTTGAAAGTAAACAGATTTGAATCCTTTGCTAGTTTCAGACCTAAACCTCCATGAATTTTAGGTAAACAAATAATTGTTAATTAAAATATTATTTATAATGTCAATACGTACAATTATATTATTATTTCACATTAACATGTCAAGTTATAATCTATTATTATAACAAATAATATTTTAATTAATAAATAATTAATCAACCACTTAAAATAAAAATACCAAAACTTGTTCAATATAATATAATATAAAAATAAAATTTTATTTACATAATTCATGAAATTTTTTAGATATTATGTTAAAAAATTATGATCGTAATCAAATAATTATAAATATATTCATAATTATTATATAAAAATAAATAATAAATATAAAGACTCAAATTTAAATTTAAATATTCAATTACTCATAAAAATAAATATTTATAAATTTGTTATTGATTTCTCATATATTTATGACGAATTGAACAATTTGACTGTTAAATAAAATAATATAATTACTTTTGAAAAAAAGTTAGTATCATTACTCGATTTGACTTAGGATTACATAGAGTTTTGAGAACTACGACTCAAAAACCTTTTAAAAATTTATAAACCTTGAATACGACTTCTACGGGCTTGTTTGACAACACCAGCGGCGGCCAGCGCGGTGACGTTGGTCATCGCTGTTACAGGGCCCTTGTTCGACAAAAGGGTCCGGTGTGGTAGAGATCATTTCTTGCCGCACTGGAGGGAGCCATTGGATCATTGCTGTTGTCACGCCCTTCACCCGCTTTCCCCGTTTTGCCCCCGTAGATTTTATTTTTAACCTTTGAATAAATACTGTTGGGAACAGAACTGGTCGGTCCCCTCACTCACAACCTTTGACTTGTCTATGTAGCTGTTTTCTTTTAACATATTTTAATTTCTGAATTATTATGCTTTCAACTGCTTATTAACTATTTAATGTAATGAATAACGATATTTTACTAATATAACAAACAAATAACTAAAAAATCAATAAACAAATATATAAAAATATAATTAACTGTTAGTACTAATTAATGCTCAATACTAATTGTTGTTTTATCTACTACAATAATATTGAAACATATCAAAAACATAGTTTTTGGAAACTTATACATATATGCAATTATTATTATTATAATTTATTCGTTGAATTTCTTATAACATTTCATTTGTCAAATACTTATAAAGTTGTGGTTATACCCAATTTTTATTTAATGTCTTTAATTATCATTTTCTCACTTCACCACATTGTTGTTGTTAATTGGATTTGATGATAATTTTATATATACATATCTTTGAATCCCTTAATTATATTAATTGAGATTTATTAACTTTTACCATCAAAATTTTTTAAAATAAAAAAATTACATTTTAATTTGAATAAAAGAATAAGTTGAATTGTGAAATTAAAAATTAGATAAATATTAAATTCTAAAATGAGCATTTAAGGTAAAATACCTAACCTATGTACGGATAAAGACCATCAAATATGAGACTAATTTAATGGTATAATTTTATTTATTTAAAAATAAAAACCAAGCTGACGCCTAATGACTATGAATGCGCGTGAAGCAGCAAAGCTTAAGCCAAACACAAGCTGTCGAAAACCTCGTTTTCGTTCATGGGTTAGTTCTACACTTCAAAAGCAAGTGTGCCCTTTGACGTAAGGTGGTTTGTCTGTACGATTCACAACTGACGATTTCAATTTTCACCTTGGTCTGCTTGTGCCTCGGGGAACATGACAAAACGGATTTCGCGGTCCCTTCCATAAATCAAATGTACTTACAATTTATAATAATAATAATAATAATAATAATAATAATAATAAAACCACCATAAATCTAAGAAAAAAAATTGACAAATAGTTCATCAATACATTTTTTTTTACCTTATTAAGAAATATGATATTATGATTTGTGATCCAACATTTTCTTTTACACAAAATTTGTCACATGGAATAATATTTTCGCAAACAAAATTTACATTAAAGAGAATGTGCATTATCCGATTAATCTTAAAATTTTAAAAAATTGCTTGTTAATTCTTTTGACTTCTAAACATACACCATGTTTGATTTTTATGAAAATTAAAGTAAAATTTTTTTAAAAAATTAAGGTTAAATTAATCTTATAGAAACAAATAATTTTTGAGACTTGGGATACCACTAGGTGACATTATAATACGTGGATTTATATATATAAACATGCTTAATAAAAAGTAATCTATTTTCAGTACCTATAATTTTGATTACATAAAGAAAGGAGAGGTAACCCATATGGGACTTTTAATATAAAGGAGTTCAATTCAGCTTCATTACTTTTCAATATATGCATAAATATCATTCATATATATAAACATTCAATTTAATCGTAAATTGTGGACTTTATACACATGTGAATAATGATTAAAATTTTAAAATAAATTATCAAATTTTAAAAATCAATGTTAAAAGGTTCGAAACTTTATTATAAAGCTTTAATTAATTTTAACAAGGGTTTATAAATACTCGTTATTTGAACTTTTATATTAATAATTTATTTATTTATTTTCTTAAAATCCATAATTGTAATCAAATTTGAACTTGGTTCCTTTTCATTCATTGCCACATTTAGATATATATATCACATGTCGTTGGCAAGTCCAGTGGCGGTCATCTGAAGGACACGTAAGATCATTCATTCACATCCTGTCACTTCCGAAACAGAATACCGGCTATTACCGGTAACTGCCAGAGACCAACAAGATTAAAGATAAAAAATCACCCCTTCGCTCCCCTCCCACGCCTCTCTTTTCGCCGGCCGTCTTTGCTCTTTTCTAATTATTTTCTGGCAAGACAAACAAAAAATAAAAAGAAAAAGAGAGAAAAAGAAAAATCCAGAAACATAAACTCATATAATTTTATTAGGATTAAGATTTGGATTCCTCTAATCCTCTTAACACAAAAGAAAAGGAAAAAAAAGGAATTCAATCAATACAAATTCGGGTTTTCAACATTAATTTTGAAAAAAGAGTAAAGAAAAGAAAAGAAAAGGAGAGAGAGAGAGAGAGAGAGGGAGAGAGAGAGAGAGAGAGAGAGGGATGGGGCGTTACAGCGTGGATGAGGCGGTGATGGCTTACAAGCTGAAGGACGCATCCAATTGGTGGCGTGACGTAAACGATTCACCGCTCTGGCAAGATCGCATTTTTCACATTCTCGCCGCTCTTTACGGTCTCGTCGCCGCCGTTGCTCTCGTATGCCCTTCCTCTCTTTCCATTATTTTATTGATCTTTATTTATTTATTTAATATTTTGTAAGTAATTAGGGTTTAGGTGTATTTGATTGCTAGGAAAACTGATGATTGCAGCTTTTCAATTTAAAATAGTTTTCCATATTTGCTTTCTCCATCTTTTTAATGTGAAAAAGAAAGTTCTAATCAAAGAAAATTAAAAAAGAAACTGCAATTAAGATTCTGTTTTAGTACTTTTTTTACCTAATATGAAGATTCTCGTAATGTTGTTGTCATGAATGGCGCTTATTAATTACCAACTATGTTCATAAACTCGTTAATTTTGTTGATATTTATAGGTTCAATTGATTCGGATACAATTGAGAGTTCCGGAGTATGGTTGGACCACGCAGAAAGTCTTCCATTTTCTAAATTTTCTGGTGAACGGGGGTTTGTATCTGATTTTTTTTTCCTTTAATTTTTTGTGGATTTTTTATTTTGAAATTCAATTTATGTATTAACAACTCTTTCATTTATATGACAGTTCGTGCCCTAGTTTTTGTTTTCCGTCGGAATGTGCAGAACTTGCATCCAGAGGTTTGCTACAATCAACCATTGCTTGTTTCTTTTTAAATTCATACTTGGACTTGATTTATTCATAATTTGTTGCTCAATGCTGCATTTCTGTTAGATTGTTCAACATATCTTGCTTGACCTGCCAAGTCTAGCTTTCTTCACAACATATGCACTTTTGGTTTTGTTTTGGGCTGAGATCTACTACCAGGTTAGGTTATTTGAGCTTCCCAGTTTGCCTCCTCGCCCTGGTCTTTCTTATTTTGTACCGATTGAATTTATCTTAATTCTTCACTTTGCGTATTATAAACAGGCACGTGCTGTATCAACTGATGGACTGAGGCCAAGTTTCTTTACAATTAATGTGGTGGTTTATACTGTTCAGGTGAAATTTATGTTCTGTTATTTCAGTATAAGTTTCCTCAAAAAGGAGAATTTGAAGTTGGATTCTTTGTACATGGAAGCTAGTCATGTTTCGTAAGAACATTACTTTTATATGGTTTTGCTTAATTTATTTATATGGCTTAGTTATTGCAAATTCTATAAATGTTTAGTGGGGAGAAGGGTGGCAAATTTTGACAAAGTGATTGGTGCTGTTTGGTGACTCTGTAAATACTGTAACTGAGACAATATTAATAAGCTTATTTGTCAGAAAAGATCTTCCTTTTTCTTGGAGGAACGATTTAAAGTTTGTGCCCTACATGGCAAGATTGCATTACAAATTTCTGTTTTAATTCTTTTAGTTGTGTGAGAATCGAGTGAGGAAATAATCAAGGCCTCAAGGGTCCAATCTGCGGTGTCATTAGTTGAAAAACAAAGAACTTTTTCATATTTATGAGATGAATATTGGACTTTGGGACTATTAATTAAAGACCAAGCAACATCAAGGGAAAAGGTAAACTTAGAGAAGATCATGTTGATCAGGAGCAATGGGCTATCTTTTTGGACTCCAATTGGGCTGCATTGGTTGGAAGTATCTTGTTTCTAAGAGTAGACTGGGCTTCTTTTTTCCTCTTTCTTTCTTTCTTTAATGAGAAGGTAGGTTATGATGAAAAACCTGATGAGGAAAAAATGCTCTATGGATATTCTTTTCATGTGCTCAAGAACACATTCCATCTACTTGCTGAGTAAACATTAATTTAATTCTTTGAATGGTGGACTTTGCTCATAAAAGTGGGTGAATGGAAAATCTACAAAATTGGTTACAACTTATGGTAAAGCTGTTTTTAAATGTCTAGTAGAGCATTTAAGAGCCATGCACTGCAGAGGCCTAGTTATTGGGAAAGTTGGAAAGTGCTGTTGGTGCCATTTGACATGGGCCCCGTGTATGATTGCTCCTTTTCATTTTAGATAATAAGTTCCACAATAGTTGTATCTTTAGATTTTTTGTTGCATGTTCTTATTTTTAGAACTTTTTGGACTGTCGGACTCGAAGGAATAATTGGCATGTCTTGACTGTCAATGCTGTTATGTTGACAGCTTGGCTGAGACAGTATCTAATTTTAATATTTTTTTTAAATGAGTGAGATTTTTATCCAAAAAACTAAGTAACTTTGATCCCTGTCATTTTTTCGTTTCCTTTCACCCTACAAAACTGTCACCTGTTTTTTCAGCTTATTTTAATTCAAAACTAGAAATATCTTAGATATTATCAATGTCAAACAATGTAGATTTTGTCAAAAGACAGATGTATCTTAGGTGATACTTCTGCCTTTGGTAAGGTTGCTACGCAAAATTTACACAGATTTTTTTCGTTGTTGATGATTTGTATTTCTTTATTTTGAATTGTTTCTTGGGCTTCTCATGTTATCGTTATTGCTGTTGGGGTTTTAAAGCTTATAATGGGGTCTTGTTCCTAAAAAGGGAATCTTGTCAATGGATATTAACATATTTGCCTCCATTTCCTTTTACTCGTTCTCCCCCTCCTCTCAGGGGTGAAATTTTCCATACTAGCAAATAAAAATTTAAACTTTTCGTTCATCCTTGTCAAGGTTTTCCTGGTTTCACCAGTATCTTGTGACTGTAGTAACCCTGAAGAGAGTGTACTTTGCAGCAGGATAAATGAAGCGAAAGTCTCTGGGGGTAGCATGTGTTTGTCTTAAAAAAATGGCCTTGGGAGTTTACTTCATATCCATATTTTTGTAAAGCACATTTTCCTTGATTTTGAGATTAAAATAAAATGTATCCAAAATATTAGATATACGAGAGATTTTCTGAGACATGATGGAGTACTGCTCACTTAAAAATTTGTCTGGTTTAGAATTGCGTGTGCTGTATATAGTCCAGAACACCCAAGTCAGATCCTTATACTCCTTTTTTATTTTTTGGGATAAGTAACTCCTTATCCTCCTTTACTTGTTTTCTATCAAATTTCAATGTTATTGTGACAATTTTAAGTTGAATTATTATTTATCTTTTAATTTAGCAATTAGGCAAATGTGCCTTTATTCAGTCATCTGATAAGTTAAACCCATTGTCTTCCAGCGGAGCTTTCTTGGTGTTTATAGTTTTAAGTCATACTCTGAAATTCTTTTCCATAGCTATTGCCTATATTAAGTCAAGTATTCTATTGTAAATACAAACTTGACTTATCTACATTTGTTGTCCCAACTGCCAATATAACGAAGCACTTCTATGAAATTGCATGTGCTTTATGCAACAATCTATCCTTTTTGCCTTTTTAGCTATACTATTGTCAACTGTCAAATCATGATTTAGGACACTACTTGTAAGATGTTTTTAGCAGTGCCATCAGTTAGTTTTTACTTATTAGTGCATCGTTATTCAATTCATTGAAGGCCTTTTGTTCTTTTTGTGTTATTATTTGCTCTGACCTGTAATGTTTATATTTTTATTTATATTCTAAGTTACCTTCAACCTGGTAGGAATTATCATTAATTATACTTAATTACTTATATGTATCTACTTCAGTGCTCAAAGCTATGTCATTTACTAATGATACTTTGACCTATTGCACAATATGTGGTTATGTTTTCGCAACGGCTTCCTTTGCCTTAATACTTTACATGATTTCTTTTCCTAAAATAATGTTTGTAGGCTACCTGATACTGGCCTCTAATAAACTATGAGTTGGTTGGATGACAATTAAACCATAAAATTAAGTTAGTAGGTCAGAAGACAAGATTTCCTTTACTGGATCAGAAGGATGTTAATAGCACTTGTTGTAGATTTTAGTAAAATTTGAATCTACAGTACAAATTTTTCTTTGATAGTATCCTAGCAAGTTCAGTCATTTTGTCACCCTTTTTAGTAGTGTTACATACTAGGATTTACTTTGGAAGTATGACTTTTGTCAGGGTTTTAGTAAAGTCTGTTTTTTTCCTTTTTTTGTTGGTAATGTGCCATTGTTTGCATACTGGTGTTTCAGATTGCAATGTGGCTGGTGTTATGGTGGAAGTATATCCCAGTTTTGGTCATCTTATCAAAGATTTTCTTTGCAGGTAAGCCTTTGCTGTTCCTTAGTAGATTTATCATAGTTACCTGTTGAGTAACTTTGGATGCTCTATAGTTTATTATGGATAACTACTTATAACTTTCGATGCTTTATTGATATTAATCACAGAGTAAGTTGTTTCAATATTGAGTGAAATTCTGATGTATGGTTATGGGCAGGTGTGTCATTGTTTGCAGCCCTTGGGTTTTTACTCTATGGTGGAAGGTAATTATACTGCCATTTATTGTATTGTTGTTAAATGTTTTAGTGGCATGAAAGCATCAAAATTAGTACTGTTAGTTGATCAAAAATATTGAACTCCACTGGCATGTTTGCATCATTTCACAATTAATGTGATGCTATTCACATTTTATTGGGAATATAAAGATGTTGTTACTTTTAACCTCTATATAAACAATTTGATTTCTATTTTAGAAAATGTCTACACACATGATTCACATGCAAAATGCATGTGTAAGTTAAAACTTTGTGTGTAACATAACTTCTATATCTGATGTGGAAATTAAAAGAGAGGATCTTTCCCTGGTATAACAAAACCAGGAAGGACATAGGTCTGCCAGTCATTGTGCTTGTTATATACAAGATATCAATGAGTGTATTAAAAATGCAAATATGTGTTTGTGTGTGTGTGTGTGTGTGTGTAGAATGAATAAATAAAACATAACAATGATGCCGATTAACTAATATTATTTAAAATGGATTTACACTCACACATATGTGCACACAACCGCAGGCACTTACATTTTAGTAAACATTTGGACTCATCATGGATAATCCTATCGGCAAAGGTGTATGGAACACTTATTATAAATTCTTGGTTATTTCGCATGATTGATGACCATCTTCTTGTTATTTGATGTTGTGTGCATCTCCTTATTACAGTTGCCCTTGTTCATTTCCCAAGAGACAAGTGAGACCATATCGTAAATATATCTTGAGGTTTATGCAAGGATGTGAGCATAGTAATGCTAAGTAATAATATATTCAATCCTTGCAGGCTTTTCTTAATGTTGCAGCGGTTCCCTGTGGAGTCCAAAGGGCGGCGTAAGAAGCTGCAAGAAGTACATATTTACTTTGAAAGTAGTTGTGGTTTTTGAGTCCAAAAATTTCACTTTTTATTTACTCTATTTTTGGCTTGGGCAGGTTGGTTATGTGACGACCATATGCTTCTCATGTTTCCTTGTCAGATGCATTATGGTAGTTCACTCATTTCTTTTCCAGCTTTACTAATTGTACATATTTCAAATTGACAAGGTTACAGAAGCATGTTTTGTTAGACCTTTGCGAAACTTTTAAATACATATAATGTTATAGCACTTTGGTTACAAAATGAAAGTGTTTTAGTTGCTTTAGCTGCTAGTTGATTCAGATTGTCGATCTTATTGATCAATCAATGTTGATAAAAATAACATGCATCTTACTGAATTTCAGATCTTTGACTTTGCTGATTTATTATTGTTGTTTTGTGTTCTAGATGTGCTTTAATGCATTTGACAAAGCTGCTGACCTTGATGTTTTGAACCATCCGGTTCTGAACTTCATATATTACCTGGTAAGTTTGATAAATAGTTGCATTATGTTGCTTATTTGCAAGTGGTTGAGAAATTCATATTGGAATCTAGTGTGGAGGTCGCTTACCCTCCTTATTGCCATATGAAATCTGAAACGATTGTCTCATTTCTTTACCTCATTTATTTTGCTGCTTACTTCTTTTAGTTAAATATGAATGCATATTTCAAGAAGGTGCAAGTTTGATTAGTAATTTACAAGTCTTAGCCATCATATTGTCATGTCAAAGAATTACTGAGGTGCGGTGATGACCGTTTGACTACTGAGTAAAATGTTTTATGATCAGCTTAATCTCTCATTTATCTTTTTTTTTTTGTTAAACTTTTATGACTTTTGAGGGTGTCTGAAGAGCAGGTCGAGGGTCAGGAGTTGTTTTAACATTATATATTGTGATGACCAAATGTTGTGTACAATTGGGTCAGTTAGACAGCCCTTGTCCAACTTTTATCCTAGTTGCAAACTTGAACTTTAGGTTTTAATAGTTTTGACAATGTAGTTTCATTGATAATTGAGAGTTATCCCTGCTACCTGCGTTAGTTTCTTCTAATGAAATTGAAGAATATAACTTTATTTATAATATGTGAGATTTTTTCCCTTACATAATTGTTTAATTCAATAAAATTGATTTATTATGGTGAATTGCAATTATGATTCTGATCTTATTTTTTATGTGTATTTTAATTTTTGAATATAATCGATACATATGACATGGACCATTATTACCTCTGAATACAATTTGGTGCGATTTGACTTTACTATCTTTACTGTATAGATAATTACATGCTAAGTTGGTGAACGACTGAGCAGTTTCAAGTTTACGAAACAATCAAATTGGGTGCAAAACTTGATTATCTGCCAACCATTATTTTTTATATCAATAAGCCCCAATTTACTTCCAATTATTGTTCAAAAATGGTAGAAAGGGGATTTTGATATGGTAGACTAAGGGTGCAATGGTCCCGTTCCATCAAGTGGTACAGAAAGGCATTTTTTTTCTGGTATCTTCTTGAATTTTCTTTACCATATCACTCTTTCTTTCTGACAGGTTTCTAATTTTTCTTCATCTTTTCTCTTACTATGTATCTCTGTTGAACATATATAAGTGAGTATGACTCATTAAGCAGAGGGGAAATTGAATGAATGAGTGTACTTTTATTGGATAAGAACCCATGTCCAACACTATATTCAAGTCTGAGCTGCCTAGTGTTTATCTATTTTTCTACCCAAATTGAGAGGAATTAGTGAAAGTTTGGGGAGGAAATCATTGCAGTTGACGATGCCTTACAGATTGTGATCAGTGTTTGTCCTAGAAAATTGCTGGATGATATAGCTTAACAATAGTACAGTATGGGTTGGAAACTTACTTTGTGCCGAATGTTTATCTTAGTGTACATTGCTAAATGCTAAAGCTCCTTGCCTCACGGTTAGAAATAATCTTTTTTCACTTTTTTTGCCTATTGGTGTTCTTTGTTTCTTGATTATCTTTGAAGGATATTTAATATGTGGAGTTTACTTGGTATTATGCGATGATTATAATGTTGTTTCTTAATGTTAACTACCGAGATGGTATTTGAATCTTTTCAGTGACCGTTTCTTTTTCTGGGCAGTTGGTGGAGATTTTACCTTCATCTTTGGTCCTTTTCATCTTGAGGAAGTTGCCACCAAAACGAGGTATTACCCAGTATCATCCTATACGCTGAAAGATTGAAGATGACTCATGAAAAAAACGAAAGGAATTAATGCTTGTAATGATTTTGGACATGGCTTGTGTACCCTGCAAAGAGAGCAGAAAAGCAATAGAGAAAGCAAAAAAACTGATAGTTTTGTGTTTGTAGTCACGAGCTGATCTTCAGGATTCTGAACCTGTCAGTTTGTTCAAAGTAAGGAGGTTGTAGATTCTTGGGAGAAATTGTGGAAATATGTCCTTGACTACTGGTATACAGTTAAATCGCCCCGTTTGTTCGGTCTTGCATCTTATAATGGGTGCTATTTTGGTCCTATTCAGTATAAGCAACAATGAAAAGGATGATGACTGAGTTTTCTTGAATTTTATGGAATGATATTCTAATTTGCTAAACTCCTAAATCTACCACCATTCTGTAACAGCTATGCAATAACATATATCTTGATAATGTTAAAGATTTCAGGAAGACATGAAAACATACAGAAACCTGAGAGACATACCTGGCAAGACTTCAATTGCATGGAACTTGATCAGGTTTTCTCTAAGAATAGGAAGAATTGTGTCTTGGATACTTTGATAGCTGAATCCATTATGTGGAGAGATGAAAGATGAATTGTTTTGAGTGTATAGCAGAGAATGTGGTTTCAACTGTGAGAGCAGGAGGATTAGCATTCAACAGGAACATATGTAAATGTCTAATTTGGAAAGGTTGACTTGTTGATGGAAGAAAAACCTACCATTCTATGTGTCAGCCTGCCTCTAGTCCAGTCGTTTTGACTGGTAGTTTTCTAACATATATCTTAGAAAACAGCATCCTTGTTCATCCGTTACACTAACAACAGGATGTTCAAGGTACGTCTGTCAATGTTCTTGTCTTCTTGACATAGGTGTCTTTGGTGGGATTGGTTGAACTCCAACCATGCCCTAGTTCAAGAATTTCCCTAGCTAGACTTACTCGTAATAAGGCTGAAGTTTATGCAAGAAGCAACCCAAGTCCGACAATCGTTAGCTAAATAAAATTTTGAACTCAAATCATGTTAATTTAAATTTCTATATCATTTTATTTATGGATACATATTTTAACATAAATTGTAACAACTCAAATTTAAACACCATTGATCCAATAACTATTTGAATTTAATTCATATAGTTTTCAAAAACTTCAATTTAAGTTGTAAGCAGTGATTGATTTAAACTTTTATATAAGTACTAATAATTATATTCACATATAATGTAAAATGGGATATCACAATATCTTAATACTAAAGTGTATTATTCACTTTATTCATAAGTCTAATTTGACTTAAAAGATGAATTTTAGTGAATTAATTTCTAACTTTTATCTTAGACTTATCTAGAAATGATCATTACTTAATTCTTAACTTGAGAATAAGTTTTACACCTTAAATTACACTTAAAAAGCTTCCAAATGACCTTGTTCTAATACAATTTAATTTAAAATGAAAATTAATTATGATTTTGTGTGCTGGATGGCCGTTTTAGCTTCATTTAAAGATATTTAGGTCAAATAATTCATAAAGATTTGTCAATTCCTAAATTCTGACGTGTAGATTCTCTTCTTTTCAAACGACAGTGCTTTAGTACTCTTCCTTGACAGCCATGGTTTACCAAGTAGGAGTTCAAGGCTAAGACTCAGAGGCTGAAACCTTGTGAAATAAAGATACATTTAGGGTGGGAAGCTGAATGTAGTGAAACCAAAGAGACCAGAGCTTGGAGATACTTCACAATCATTGATAATTGATTGGTGCAAGGCAAAATTACAAAAACAATTAGATTGGCATCTAAATATAATTTTTAAAATTTTAACTCTTTAAATAAGATATACATACGTATTCTTTAAATTATCGAATTTTAGTAAAATTAAATGGTTAAATCGTTTCAAAATCTCTGCATAAACCAACTAAATCTAAAGCTTAAATGGCTTGGAGTCTCTCTTCTCCACATAAAGGGATGTAGAGTGCTTGAATATGTTGAAGACATAAAAAAATGGGTGTTGATCCCGAGGTCCAAAAGGTAAAATAGCAAAGAAAACGTGTTGAAATAGAGTCCTAGACCACCATACAGTCTCTTTTGTATGCATTCCCTATTCCTTGGACCCAATGCCCAATGCCATCATGATTCTATTAAATTTATAGCATATCTTATGTGGTACACACAAAAAGAATCGATCATATGATAAGGTATCAAGATATTTTTTTCATGTGATGGGATAAAAGTGGTAGCTTATATAACTAGTAGGTACCATTGAGATCGAGTAGTCTAAAAATTAGATATAATAGATTTTTTATAATATTAAATAAAGATCAAGTTCCAAAAAAATTAAAGACATGTTAGGTATATTGTTAATATTATTATATTAATTTAGATAGTATCGGGTTTGGGTCTTTATCGATGATTTATCTTTGATATTATTCAAATAAAGGAAGCAATTTTCGATGAATACGTAATTTACGCACAAAAATCTTTTATTACAGTAATAATTTCAAATTTAAAGTTTATATAATAATAAATATATAATATAGTTAGGAATGTAATGTAATTAAATGGTTTTAAGTTAAGTACCTAACAGATTAGGAGGGTCGGTCCATTTTTGTCCTATGCCACGTCAAGTGGGTCCCAGTGGAAGCACATCAACCGCTTAAAACACTGCAATCTGAGTCAGCACTGACTAAACAAAAGGCTAATCGAAAGTGCGATGGGTCCGGCGAGAGGACATGAGGAAAAAAAATTAAAAAATATCGTAAACCAAAATGAGTGAGCCGGTTGCCAGCTAATCCACCCAAATACAGTGAAGCCTCCCAGTTGCATGGCTCAGCTGTTTCCCAATACTTTTATGTTTACTGTTTTGCTTATTTGCATGCAAGGACATATTAAGAGTCCTTGGCATGAAATATGGGAAGGGCTTGGGATAGTTAGAAGTTTTAGGGATGGACGTTCCGGCTCTTATAAATACTCTTCCATTTTTCAACCTAAGATTTAACCATTGCTTGCGTTTTGTTCTTTCTTTGCTTTCTTTTCCTTCTGATCTTCCCCTTCAGTTTTGATTCAGGACAATGACTATTCTCATTGAGCAGCCTGAGTTTGGTCAGTTTTTCTTTCTCTTTTTTTTTTT